ATTTATATATAATTTTATTTTTGAATTGGCCCTTTCCAAAATGAAAAGGATTCCAATTTATCCTTCTCTCTTTGAATGAGAACAGCTGCTCTTGGTTTTTATCTATTACATTTTTATATTTTAACATTATTTACATAAAATCAAAAGACTAGGTTTCTTAATATTATCACAGAAAGCCCAGTAGAATTCTTTTTGCAGAACAAATCATAAGATGGCAAAAGTTTGAAAGTGAATTGTAAATATGTTTTCTAATTGTCATACCTGGAGGTATTCTTAGCATTCCTACTGGGAAAGAAAACAATTGCAGATTTGTGTTTGAGTTATTACCATATGTGAAAAAATATAATTTTATTTACTTCTCATAACATCCTGCATGCAAGTACCTTCGCTCTTCCCTGTCTTCCAGATAACAAAACTGAGCACTTTGAGCAGGGTCACCATCACAACTTGACGTTGGGAAGTGCACCGCGCTGGGGACCCAGGCACGGCCTTCCACAAAGGAGTGTATGAAGCTTCCTTCTGTGAGTCACTGCCTCAGTGTAAGCCTTGTTATCTCTCACCAATACTAGATCAGTACATCCATGTCTTCCCAATTCACTCTTTCACCTTTTCCTTTGTCTTCATCGCAGCTTAAATACTGTTTTAGAACAAATATGATTGGTCCCTCACTTTAATCTAATTGGCTCTCCACTGTCTTCACGCAAATTTCAAGCTCCTCGGCACTCTCTTGTTTCATCTTTCCTATACTCCATGTCCAATTATGCATGACTCTCAGCTGGAACTACCTATACTTTTCCCAACCTCTTTCAAGATATCTCCTCTAATTAGGCCACGTTCCCTGCCATCCCTCCTTGGTTTTATCATCTCCTTGTAATTTCTTACATCTGCCTTCCTGAATACTTTTCATTTTTTTCTAGTGCTTAGTTGAAGAGTCATCTCCTTCTGTCTGGTACATCAAGTGCATGTTAATCACCTCCATCCCCCATGAAGCACTTCTCATATCCTACTGCAACTCCTTGCTCATCTGCTACAGCTGCCAGACTCCAACCACTTCAAAGACAGGACCTGTGGCTTCGACTTCTACATAGCCAGGTCTGTTGTATGTAATCAATAATGGGATTGAGCAAGAAAAATTTTAAAAACCATCATAAACTCTTAAAGAAAATGTATTATTAATGTATAGTTCCAATTATTAGCATTCTATTTTAAACTTTAAACTTAAACTATTCTGCCACAAAATCTTAGAAGTGAAAATAAGCCTCACTGGCAAAGAAGCAAGAACTTACTTCACTGTTTGAAAAATGAAACAGGTTTGTGGTTGTGGCCAACAGATGGGTGGTCAATGTCGCCTACCCAACAATGCACCAACCCCAGTTGCCAATGACTGTCCTTAAAAATGTGGCCAACATGTATTTTTTGCAAACTTTGGACATCTCAAAAGAGAAATCAATAGTATATGCTCAATGAACTTTCAAAAAGATCAACATTACTGTTGTGTGATTACAAAGTTAATATGATACCAAGGTATATGCGCAATAGCATCTGCTGCCATGTTAGTATAAAGAAAACAAAAAAAGAGAACAAAGCCCTTCTGTTTTACTTAAGACTTCCACAAACTCTTTTTGAAAGCTATGTGGTTCTTCTATATGTTATGGTTATGGCTCTTTTATACGTAAAAATTATAATGTTAGTTCAGAATATGGAGAAAACTATAATCATTTGATATAAAGAAGTCAAAAGTGGGACTAAATTGCACTCTAGTAGTTGCAGATTTACTTTATAAACAGCATTAAATCTCTGATATATAATTCCAGGAAGATTAGACTATTTTTCTTCCTGTTTTGCAAAAACGGGATTGTTTGCAAAGAAGGCAATCTTACTACACCAATTCCTGGCAATTAGAGACTTAACAGAAAACTTTGCTCTTTGTGTCATCAATCTAATCTTTTAAAATTACAACAGCAAACCATGCATGTCTCGTAAGTGCAAGATCCTGAGTTTGATGCCCCGTACCGAAAAAAAAAATTTTTTTTAATTTAAAAAAAGTAAAATTACAATAGCAAGAATTGTCGGGTAATAAAAAAATACTGCTTTTATGGAAACTCAACTAAGAACTAATTGTTAAATCAGTCAGGATAGTTTAAGGAAGGCAAACCATAATCTACACATGGGAATGAAAATACACAGTACTGTTATTCTAAAACAGGAAAGAAAGAACATTAATTTTTAAGAGGAAAATTTCCTACCACGATTTGTGTTTGTTGTGTGATTAGCTTTGGGAGAATGCTCTTCATCTCTGAGCCCTTTCACTAACTCCCAATGTGTGTCTTCCGTGAGAAATGGCTCCCAGCCGCAGAAACCGGACTCAAAGTCACAGGTGAGATGATTTGCTGTTCAATGTAGAAAAGAAATCAGGCAAGGGAAAATGAAGTCAGAGCATGCGATGGAACACTGACTTTATATAAACCAGAAAACTTAGGAGCGCACCAATGTCGTCTGCTTTATAGAGAAATTTTCCCCTCATCCTCATAAGTTTTCCGTGTTCTGACAAGACATGGCTTCTACATGCTTCTATCAACCAGTTTGTCACACTTCATTCTAATTAACCATCTCCACTGTATTAACAATACCACATAAAACTCTAGTGCTTTTTGGTGAGTTACTGATTCACCTCCAACTATAAACCTGCTGAGACTGTACATTTTTAAAAAATACTTTTAAAAGAATAATTTAAATGAATCCTGGGTACCTGAAGAATTTGAGGTCAACTGCTCAGCATTCATTTCATTATTCTTATTATTTTTCCAAATTAAATGCCTTGCCACTTTAAAATTGCAAGTAAATTAGATATTCTGAACTCTGCTTTTCTTTTCTTATTATACAACTTAAAACTTGGTAAGAATTTAAATTATTATATTTATCATAAAAGAACTATTTCTAGAGAAAGTCTGTGTTTGGGGAAAGCTTCATAAATATCTTTCGCAGCTTTGACACCAAATTATTGAGAAAAAACAGCAGACTTTAAAGCACCAGGCAGTAAACTAGAACCAACAACTTGATTTGTGCTTCTGAGAAATTAGTTTTGACCACTAAATTTCCTTTTCCTAAAGTAATAATCATAGTAGTATCAGCCCCTCTTAGAACCTAGTGTTGGGGATAAATTAATACCATCAATTCAAAGCTTAATTTCCAAAACTATCTCTCTATGCAGTGGCATTTTGCAACAGTGCGGGGAAGGGGAAAATATTTTTTAGAGCTTTGACAAGCTCCCTAAGATCATAATGCTGTTAACTTTAATAACAACAGATACTTACCACTGAGGTCCAAGTACATGCCATAAATTAGCCTGAATTCTGACAAAATAGCTAAAAGCAAGAAAATCATCAATACATAAAAGAATTTTTTCTAAACTTTACAAGTATTTAATATATTAAATATGGCAAGGCATTTAACAGTTACTAGTATGTATTTCATCTTCTTGACTATATTTATTATTTCAACTTAAACCTTTTGAATTATGAAAGGGAAATATTATTAATGGAAAACCTCAACTTAGAGACCTGGAATTTGACATATAGAGGAGTTAAGTTTTAGAACATTTAATTTGGTAGAATCTTTTTCAGTGTATTGGAATAAACGTCATTGGTAAAAATAGCTGAGCAATTCCCCAAGATTTTTACAGAGGAGACTGGAGTACGCTCCTTTCACAAATTTTCATGGCGACTGATTTTAAAAATTAATTTTCATGTTTCAAAGGACAGAGTATGTTTAGTGTTCTATAGAAAGTATAAGGATTGACATTTTACTGATGAAACAGCTAAATATTGAAAGAAATAGTTTGAACTTTTGTCCTAAAGCTACATTTCAACATTTATACAATTTATAGTTATTTTTATTTTGACTATTGCTTTTTGTTTAACTTTCGATGATTATAAAATACATTTCACTACCTCTAAACGAAATACGTGCTAAGACACTGCTCACTAGTTCAGTAAAATTTATCTTGGAGCTCATCAGTTTAGAGAAATAGTTTCCAGCTACGACAAAGCTTTCTCTTGAACATTTAACCATGGCAGTTCAATGTGATCATCTGTTTGAATCTTTGCTGTCCTTATTTTATACAGGATTGTGTTAATGAAAGTTAAAAATCTAGCTCTATGTAGCATCAGGATTCTCCTAGGGCCTGGTGAAGTAATGAGAGTTCTGGCTTCCATCTTGAGAGGCCTCTGAGTAGTTTGCCTTTAATTTTTATGCCAATTTTTTCTTTTTATTTGTCATCTGTTTCCTCCCTCAGCTTTCCTCGTTTCTGAAGGCTCTTTGGCACAGTGGTTCTCGAAGTTTAACATGCAGATGAGTCACTGGGGACCTTGTCACAATCCAGCTCTCAGTTCTGTCGGCAGAGCTAGGGCCTCAGGTTCTGCTTTTTGAACCAGTTCCCAGATCTCGCTGCTGCTGGAGTCCTCAGAGTACATGACAGAAGCTAAACAGCAGCAAACCTCACCAGCACTTTACAGTTACCTCTCTCAAAAAGCCACTGGGCTAGGGGCTCACAGTAACTTCATCTATTATAGGGTAACCTGGCAATGAAAGCACTTGAGTGAAGAATGTCCCCTCTGGAAAACCACACTGATGAATACTAACAGACAACGTTCACATGTTAATATTTATTATGTCTCCAGCATATGATCAGTACTCCTGGAGCTATTCAAACTGTGTGTATGACCCATCCCATCCTAAAGAGTCATTCTAAAATGGGCTCAAAAGAAGATATAAAGGCTTTTTGCTTGTGCTTCATGAATTTGTAAGCTTTATTAGAATTCTAAGTTCTAAAGGAAGGCTTCTTCTCCTGTAAAAATATATGCATGCATTTGTATGCATAAATATATCAAATACTTCAGTGTGGAAAATAGTGTAAATTTATATGAATTTTAATAAGATTACAATAAATT